TCAAAATAACAGTGTAATTATGAGCGGAGTAGATCTATACGACGGACGGTGTCAATGGTCTATACAGGATTTCTAGATTACCTATTTAAAGTAATTTTATTGGATCGTACTCAGAACCATGACTTTCCTGGAGCTATTAGCTTCCCGATTATAACACTTTTTACAGTATATAAAAGCTTCAAACTACACTTACGTCAATATTATGGCATTTACGTCTATTTAAAAGATTTGCACATAGTAGTTGCAACAATATAGTTTGGTTTTAAAAAGCTTTGTAGTTTTTTAATAATAAGTTAAATACAGCAGACGATGATACTGTTAATATTAAATATGAAACTCAAGGCCATCATCGGACTCAAAACAATTTCAAGCTTTTACAAGAGCGACTCTGGCAACATGATAGGTGAGGGAAAGTGGTGTCAATCATCAATTATGTAATTCAAGTTACTAAATTGTAACATCATTTTTTTTTAAAGTATAGAAATTCTTTTCGTAATCACAAAAAATTGCAAAAAACTATTAATATCAGTCGCTGATGATCGAACGATTTATCAAAATGGAAAGTATAAATTAGCAAGATTTCACCAATACGTGCCCAGTAGAAATTACATATTTATACTAACACCCAAAAATCCACAATACTATGTTGGTTGATTAAGAAATTGAAAATGAAATATTAGGCACCAAAGAAACTTTCTTACGAATAATTAAAATAAAGTTAAAAAATAAAAATAGTTACTATAAAATATTAGGATTTTTTCTAATAATAGTACTTTAGGCTTATACAAGAGTAGCCATTTGTCAGAGAATACTTTAGCAATACTATCGGGCTTTCAAGCGAGGATTTATAAGATTTCACGAGGAATCTAGTTTTCAATAGTAGCTTGTTGATTTTTTTTAGATCTAAGATATTAGAAAATCGCCAAACAATATCAGCCTCCTCATGTAAAAATGGTGAAAGGTGAATCGATTATTTTGTTGAATTGAAATCAAAAAAATTCGCTTAGAGATTCGAAGTTACTAGCCACGCTTCTTTTTTCTCTCATCTGCTGTTATTCGTTTCACGAAAACAATTAAGTTCCACTACAAAAATGTTGAACCGTTGCACAGTGACACAGCCCCAAATAAATGGTAACTTTTTGAAAAATCTTCAAAACTGTGCACGATTCACGCGAAATCAACGTACAATAAGCCCGAGATTACTCACTGCTCGAAAATATCGCTCCGATATGCGATAATTCAGCCACGATAGGTACAGGCGCGATAAAAAAAAAAGGTTCGGCAATTAAGTCGTTATCAATCTTGTCGAAGCCGTGGTGAGTCACTCTAGTGCGCATTGGTCAGCTCGAGTGACGTAACAATGACTTCGAGAAATGAAGCCTTCGATAAGTAAAAAAAGAAAAAAAAAATTATTGCCTCTCCTTATTATTCTTCGTCTTCGATAATAGCTCATCTCATTTTTCAGCTGACTATATGGGCGATTTTTGCCACATCCACGAATCGCCGACCCTGAGGTTGAAAAATTACCCGCAGACGCGGCCGTACGGGTAGCGCATCTTTCTCTTTACGCACTACCGACGCGCTCGCTCCCGACAGCTACACGCGAGACTTTCACTTGGAGACACGCTCGTACGCCAACCAGATTAAACACCTACTCGCGTGGCTAGTTAGCACGGAGTAGAAACTTTATGCACACTCGCGCATTCGATCGTAAAATTAACACCGATGGATCGTATGGTAAAGTTTCCGATGCTTCTTCTTCTCTACACGATGGCTAAAGGTTTTTTCTTCGTCATCGCTGAACTTCGCGCCAACCTCCGCCGAGTCGCGCTATTGTGAAACACTATTGAATTTCACCTTCAAACCCATCGATCGCTGCTACCATCGTATAAATATTTTCACGCGCTCCGCGATAACATTAATTTTTTTTTTTTTTTTTTTTTTCTCCACAACAGTCGTGTCGGGGTAAGTACTGCCAAAACGGCTCGTTTCATCGTAGAGTTTCTACAGCCCGGAGGAGCACCCGTTGCTGAATTATAAAGCGATCTACATCCCAAGCCCCGAGCTCTGCGCGGTGGATCGCGTCAATCGAGAAACAGCCGCGGCATTCCCGAAAACTTGGACGGTGTACCTAAAAGAAGGGGAAAAAAAAACGCAACTTCCGTTTGAAAGGACCACGAGGATACAACTAGCCAGCGGCCAGAGAAAGAGGAAAAAAAGGGGGAGGGGGGGCGAGGTCCGACTTTTAACGGGAACCCCGGATCCTGCGAGGGGGTTAAATTTTATGCGCGAAGGCACGGCTCCCTCCTCCGCCGCACACCGCCGCGGGGGGGAAGAGAAAGACACGATGGGTGCTAGAGCTGCGGTAAAAGAAGGAGGGCGCGAAAAAAAAAAAAAAAAAAAAAAAAAAAAANAACCCCGGATCCTGCGAGGGGGTTAAATTTTATGCGCGAAGGCACGGCTCCCTCCTCCGCCGCACACCGCCGCGGGGGGGAAGAGAAAGACACGATGGGTGCTAGAGCTGCGGTAAAAGAAGGAGGGCGCGAAAAAAAAAAAAAAAAAAAAAAAAGGGAGAGCCCGCGAGAGCGACGAGGTGGTATAAAGCTGAAAGTGCGCTGGTCCGGGCGCTCAGTACGGATCCAGCAGAGATGCGAGCCGGGATGCTGCCCGAGGCGTTCGCGCCGATACTCTTCGGCCTCTTCTCGGCTCTCCTGCTACTTATCGGCGCACCTTGTAACAGTTAAAGGTAAACGTACAAAGTAAGTAATCTTTGGTAGACAGTATAATATATTGAGTAAATTGGCTTTTTTGTGACCACTTGTAAGCATCGCAATATTGTCATAATTGCAATATTGTTTTCAGTGGACTGGGTCGAAATAGAATCTGTTTATTTAAAATAGAGTTACTTTAGCTATCAGTAAGTATAATTAGTTTAATGTTATTTATAATAATCAGTATTCTTCTGGAAGTGTGTTATGGTTTTAAAGTTCACACAATAAATTACTATTGTATTTATAACCATAATAAATAATTTACGCTAAATAAATTTTAGTAAAAATCTGTTTAACTTGTCTTTGACAGATCTATTGTTATACAAGTAGAAATAGGGACAGTTACTTTGTAAATATGTGATACACATGTGGTGTTGTGGTTAATATCAGGTATTGGTTTCTCTGCATAACTATGCTTGACATACATAGATATCTTTCACCTTTTCCTTGCAGTATGTAAAAATTTTAAATCCATAAATCCTAAGCACACTCTAGGGTACGCAAACTATGATTAAATGCATTGAACATAATATTATGATTTGATCTTACTTTGGAAAAAATTTTATGCATAATTTTAAGGTTGTTAGCATTGTGTAATACTAATTCAAAATAACAGTGTAATTATGAGCGGAGTAGATCTATACGACGGACGGTGTCAATGGTCTATACAGGATTTCTAGATTACCTATTTAAAGTAATTTTATTGGATCGTACTCAGAACCATGACTTTCCTGGAGCTATTAGCTTCCCGATTATAACACTTTTTACAGTATATAAAAGCTTCAAACTACACTTACGTCAATATTATGGCATTTACGTCTATTTAAAAGATTTGCACATAGTAGTTGCAACAATATAGTTTGGTTTTAAAAAGCTTTGTAGTTTTTTAATAATAAGTTAAATACAGCAGACGATGATACTGTTAATATTAAATATGAAACTCAAGGCCATCATCGGACTCAAAACAATTTCAAGCTTTTACAAGAGCGACTCTGGCAACATGATAGGTGAGGGAAAGTGGTGTC